CCCGATTATTTTTTTCTTTTCTTTCTTATTTTTAATTCCCTATACAGACTTTTTATTTCACAGTCTTCAGGCCAGTCTGCTCACATCACGGATCCTTTCTATTCTGCCTCAGTGGCGGGCAGTCTTTATTCCTAGACTTAATGAAGTGTTCGCACCATTTAGTCTGGAGTACTGTGAGCACAGGCTGCTCAATGATGCCATCTGCAGAGGTGGGTCAATGATACCGCATGCGTGCACAGGAAGTGTGTTGGAGGTCACGGACCATTTAACCCAGAAGGAGACTGCATTGGGAAGTAGTACTGCAGATGCAAAGCAACTTTAAAAAACAAAATTACAAATTCTGGAGTTCTACTTTAAGTTCTGGAGCCAAGTGGAGTTTAGGTTAGGTCATATAACCCTCTTCTTTGCCCATGTGTACTGGAATGCCATCAACATTGCTGGCTGATCTAAACAGTGCACACGGCAGCCTATGTCTATATATAGTTATTCCGGCAAAAACACTGAACTACAGGTATTTCTCACTTGATTTAATACAGATTACTTTGCCTAGCAACGGTGTTTGTTTTCTCGAACACACCTTGCCAGCACTCCCCCATATGTCGTGTAATATTGACTCAGCGCGGCCTGTGGTTTTCGCCATGTCACAGGGATGAGCCTAGACAGCGACAAATGATGTTTTGCTGAACACTTTGGTTACAATGCTGTTAAAATTAAACAGAAGCGCAGCAAGTAGGAGTGAAAAGACAAGCAGATCTTGTGAGATATGAAATCAACGCTGAAATGGATGCCTTTCGTTTAAATGGATTCGCTTCAGTTCGGATTACTGGAACTATTATAAAACATTCATTCAAGGCTGCGGGCCAGAACGAATGGAAAATAAATAGACAGTCAACCTGTTTGCAATAAAAGACGATGCAGATTTACAATAACTGCAGAGGTGATTTCAGTGCATTACTGGCATAAGCAATCTTAGGTGAATACTGCTTGAACTATCTGGTAAATAATTTACAGAAAGACATATGTGCTTGTCATAAATAAAAGTATGAGACTATACAGAGTCACAACCGTAAGGAGAAATGTGGGGGAACAACAAGGGTCACGGGGACAAGGGGACTGAGTAGGGTATAAATGCCTGAGGAGCGGCCAATGAGAGATCTGGCAGCTGCTAAACATTTACTTATACTTGCCTGGCTTCAGGATTTCTCTGACATCATAGAAACCATTAATGTATTGTCCTTTTCTACACAGTACCAGTACAATATGAGGCTTTGTGCAGAGCATGCTGATTCAATCATGTTAGTTCCTGCCCTAGAGGAGCCCTGAATCTGACGTCTGTACCGTACATACATAACCCCATGCTGATCACGATTACCCACTGGTGTACGCCAAGTGTTAACCACCATGCTACTATGTAGTTTCTCCTTCTCATTAGAGGCTAACAACAAAAAAACAGATAAAGCTTTAACGCAAGAATAAGGATATTTATTTTCAGCCATGTGACTGTAATTCTCAAATCTCAATGACTAAAAATAACTGTCGCTTTTCTTTTTATAAATAAGGATCCGTATTCTGGCTTGTTAGCTTTGTGAATTGAGCCTAAAGTATATTTTTCAAACCCTTCCATATAAGAAAACTACTTTTTCTGCAGTCCTTTTCTACTCCATTGTGTCTCCACCCACACAGCAATGCATAGAGAGTTGGCATATTAAATTAGACTTTTTTGGGGCCATATGCAGCCCTCTCAATCCTTTTTTTGGGCTGCAGCTGGTTTAACGATTTTAACTAAACGAAGCCCCAGCTGTTCTCCAGTTGACGAAGGTTGCACTTTAATACATAATTCTGAGATTTAATAATTCGGGAAATGTTCCCTGGGTTAAAATATTAAAAGTTACAATTGTTATAATATATATTATGGTAATTACCAAAGAGCTATATATTTTTTTCTGAAATAAAGTTTGGCTCCTTGAAATAATGCGACCCCTTGAAAATGTTTACACTCTCTTTATTTCACCATTTAATTTGTCTGGTGTAAGTATATGAATATATTCAAAGCCATGACCATACAACATTCCTACACGGACACAAAATAAGCCAATGGGTAGAACTTGATATTTTTTCATTTCACAGCAATTTGCGCAAAAACACAAATATACGTGTTACATTTTAAAGTTGAATTCAATACTTCTCCAAGTAATTAAAAAGAAATAATAAAAGGTATGATGTTCTGCAGAAAAGCCAACACTAAGGTGTGCCAAAATTATTGCTCAACATTTGTGACAGATATTTAACAGATATTATGTATTGAAATAATTTTTCTCATTGGGTGGTTAATGTTTATATATATCTATATATATATATAGAGAGAGAGAGATATCTCTATAGATATATATCTCTCTCTCTATATATATAGAGAGAGAGATATATCTCTATATATCTCTCTCTCTCTCTCTCTCTATATAGATATATTTGTCTCAGCATCCTCTTTCAGCAAGTGCCTGATGACATTTGACTTACTCTTCTTATGAAATGAGTGCCAATCTGTCATCCGTGTATAGCACATTATAACAGGGCAATGTGTAAGGACAGCTTGAGTCCTGAGGGAGAAAGTCTCTGTGACCTCTGATTACAGTTCAGGTTTGGCTGTTGGTCATGTTCTGGAAAACAAAGGAAATATATTCTCTCCCTGACTGTAGGAAAGGGTCATCAGCACTCTGCTCCATGGAAAAGTGTTTCCACTCCATCAGCTCAGACATGGAAACATTCTTATTGAGCTTATTAAGGGGCCTCCCTGGTGTTATGTCTTTTCCAGTGGAACCACCTGAAATAAAAAGAAATAGCTGAATAGATAAAATAACATTTGATTACTAATCATCTCGATTTATACTGCAGGGAGTTATAAATCAATTGAAGCAAGAGAACTAGAAATAATATTTATTCCATGAGCACCATACAGGTTAGTGAAGAGGTCTTATAAGGTCTTCCAGTACTTACATTCCTTCCAACAAAACTAAAACATTGGGAAGCTAAAAGCGCTCTATATGGAAAATATATTCTGGTGACTGTATGGGGTTAATACCTGTAATGATAGTATTCAGCATATTAATTCCTTTTTATTTCATATACCTTGATTTTTATTTTTCTCCACATTTACATGCAGGCCAAAGTTGTCCAGCAAAAGGGACGGTTACAGGACTAATTATAACAATGCCAGAAGTAAATACAATGGTTACTGTTTAATCATATTGTTTCAACATACAGTTTCTTTAGCTGGTTGAAAAGTTCCGGGCTTTATTAAATGTTCATCTAAAGTCCACAGGGTGACAACACTGCAGTCATTTCAATGCAGAATGAATAGTGTTTTTACCTTGTTGTGGAAGTGGTAAAATAACAGATTGACCGCCAGGATCAATAGGTAGAAAACTATGTTTTGGGTTGCTTAAGCTCATACACTGCTCTATTTTTGTTTAACCTGTGGGCAGAATTTTTTTTTAATAAAAACAGATTCCTTTATCAACGCTACAAGCGTGTTGATCGAGGAATCCCCACTGTTTCTTTTGTATTCTGACAGTGGCCACTGGCAGAAGATGTGAACAGAGCCAGCAGCTCATTGGCTGCCAGCTCTGCTCATACAAAGATTTATCAACCGGCTCCTTCAATCAGCCGATTGAGGGATGCCAGTCGAAAGGGTGCCCACTGTGCGAATTCCAGCCAGTTCTTCAAGAAGTGTATGGCCACCTTTAGAAAACCAAAAACTGCTGTGTCAATGCTAGTGACAGAATACATTAGAAGTGCCGTTTTTGGCTTTGCCCATAGTCCTTATGTGCTAGAAATCATTATTATTATTGGAGGGATGCAGATTTAACTAGTCTAATGAAAAACTATTTTAGGTAAAATGAAGGGCTCAAGAGATCACTAAATGCAACCCTCTTTACCTCTTTCTAATAGAATAGTGAATATACAATCCTGTGCATCACGCCCTGAATAATTATGCTGACAGCACAACTTACACAGTACCAAATGGGACATTCCTATTGTAGTATGGAAGTTTTTTTTATCCTAGTTCAGGTCTGTTTAGCTACTGCATGCAAAAGATGGCCACACACGTGACTTCATTTAAAATAAATCTTTCATATATGCCTGACTACTAAAATAAGAATGGGGATCCCATAAACAGAAACTCATTTTCCAAATAGAGAGTAAGGCTAGCCATTGATTGGTAGACGTTTCTTTGAGAACCATGGGTGGGGATTCAAGGCTTTGAAATTAAAGAGGACCTGCTACTTTTTCCAGTTAGGTTTCTTGCATGCTCCTGTTTAAGTCTAAAGCTAAACTAAATGCTTCACACATAGCAGTAGAGATGTAGATTACCTGGATAATGCTTTGTTTGTGTACAACCACAATCTAGCAAGTCATGGGTCACACAGTCACTGTCTTCATCCAAAGTGAAGAGATCTCTCAGCTCATCCACAGAAAAACAGATATGTTCTGACTTCTTTGCCAGATCAACTACAGCCCCGGAGAGGCCCTGTTTACTTATCTGCCTCTGATAGATCTTTTCCTCTAATGTGCCTGCAAGAAAAGAAGGTATAAAAAGGGATATCTTTCCTGCTGCTATTTGCCCTAGATTACGCATATAAAAGTAATAATTAAAATGCACAATTATAACTTCGCTTTAAATGAGGGACTTCAATCAGTTTTTATGGTTGATTAACGCATCTACAATAGTCAAGATGGGGAGTACTCACTTGGTCCGACCACATGTTGCTCACTTTTCTTCCATCCTGCATCTCTGTGTTCTTCCCAAACACATGGCTGTGTAATCTCACTTCCTGCCTCCCTCCATTTTCTGCCATCATCACTTCCTGTTTAACCAGGCCTTTCAAACTAGCTAGGCAAATTCATTAGCATTTACATAGAGGAAGCGCAGCTAATGGCTGAAAGCCACTGGAAACCCTTTAATCACCAAATGGTAACTAAAATAAGATTTCATATTTGCTACATACAGTGATCAGTAAATAACATTATGACCACATGCCTAATATTGAGTAGGCCCCTTTTTTGCTGCCAAAACAGCCCTCACCCATCAACTCCACTAGACCTCTAAAGATAGATCGGGCCTGTCTATCGGCGGCTGTCATCCCCCCACACCTGCTCCTCCTTACTACATCTCCCCGCGTCCCTGTGCCGATCGTGGATGTGGGCGGGCGGTGAGTGTGAGGCGGGGAGGAGGTGCGGCGTGAAGAGCGTGGATGCGGGCGAGCGGGTCTGGCAGCGGCGAGCGTGAGGTGGGGAAGAGGTGCGGCGCGCAGCGTGTGTGGAGCCGTGAACAGGGCCAACTGATCGGAAGACGATTAATCGATTATTGAAAAAGTTATCAACTTTTTCAATAATCGATTATAATCGATTAGTTGTTGCAGCCCTAAAAGATACACTTTGTTATCCGGCACCAAGCTATCAGTGGTAGATCCTGGAAGTTGTGAGGTGGGGCCTCCATGGATTGGACTTGTTTTTTAGCATATCCCACAGGTGCTTGAATTGATTGAGATCTAAAGAATTGGGAGGTCAACACCTTCAACTCGATGTTGTGTTCCTCCAACCATTCTTGCAGTGTGGCAGGACGCATTATGCTGCTGAAAGAGGCCACTGGGAATACTATTTCTATGAAGGGGGGTACTTGGTCAGCAACAATGTTTGGATAGGTGGTACATGTCAAAGTAACATCCACATGAATGGCAAGACCCAAGGTTTCTCAGCAGAACATTGCCCAAAGCATCATACTACCTCCGCCTCACTTCATTTGACAGTGGTCATAATGTTATGGCTGATCGGTGTAAATCACTTACATGGCCATAGCAACACATTGGTCAAGACTAGTCCTTATATCTTAACATGTAAGTGTTAGGAAGAATTTCTTGAAGTGATCCTCACACACACAAAAAAAACATTGCTTCAAAAGAGTTACCCATAAAAAAAAGAATACTTATCTCACCGCTGCTTGTTCCATTGAACTCTTGAGCTTTGTTACAATGCTACTCTGATCAAGTCCTAAAACACTTCCTGTATTAGGGTGACATTGCTGCTACTTTATAGATACTAGAGGTGCACCAAATTGAAATTTGGAAACAGAAAAAAAAAAAAATTTAGGCCAAAACGGAAAATTATTATTTTCTAACCTTTTTCATCTTTTTAAAAAATAATTTCATTTTTATTTATTTTTCCCCTAAACTTTTTTTTAATATTGTATTTATTTTTTAATAAATATTAATTCTTCTTTACCTTTACTGTTGGGGGCTTCGGGGAAATATTAGGGGTCTAAACAGACTTCTGATATTTCCCTTTTAAAATCGAAAACGAGAGTGAGCGGTTCGGGGAGGAGAGCTTGGTCTCCTGTGACAGCCGGCTCCTCCCCCGCACTGTTGGCCCAGCCTTCTGTGACAGATGTCTCTGTCCCCCACACCGCTCTCCATCCTGATCAGTCACAGGAGGTCGACTGGGGCGGTGTAGGAGGAGAGCTTGGGCTCCTATGACACAGACCGCTCACAGCTCTCCTCCCTGCCCGGCCTCCTGACAGTTTTTCTCCTCCCTGCTGGACACTGTGCTGTGTCAGAGCAGACACAGCAGTGCCCAGCGGGGAGGAGAGAAACTAGGAATGCACTGCAATTTCGGCAGAAAGATGGTACTTTCGGCATTTTGCCCAAAGTGCCATTTTCAGCTGATGTGTTTCGGCAGCTGAATTTTCGGTGCAACCCTGATAGATACAGTACAGTCAGTGATCGTTGTCACCCCAAGACAGGAAGTGTGTTACTGGCAGGTGTCACCAGGTAAAAAATTTAAAGAACAAAGCCTTAAAAATGAAATCTAATGCGGCTGCCACATCTAAGGACTGGGAAGTGGCAATATATTACGCTTTTCTTCCTTGGTTTACATACAACTTAATTTCTTAAGTGATTACAAATGTAGAAGGAAGCAAAGCATTTTCATTGAATAGGAGTGCACATTCTCTTCTTTATATAATGTTTTATCACTGGACTGGTCCAGGATCCAATGAAAGAGGCGATGTCTGCATATTACTTTGGTTGCCTCTATCTTTAGTTACTGTGCCAGAACTAAAGTCAAGTCAAAAGGTTAATCTTCGAATGAAGAAATAAAAAAGTAGTCACAAAATGTACATGTTATGCTTTAGTGATACATTTTTACCCCAATGCCAAGTACTTT